CTTCAGGTACACTGTAGAAAGGGTGCTACTGGGACTTCAGGTACACCATAGAAAGAGGGCTACTGGTACTTCAGGTAAGCCATAGAAAGTGTGCTACTGGTACTTCAGGTACACCATAGAAAGAGTGCTACTGGTACTTCAGATACACCGTAGAAAGTGTGCTACTGGTACTTCAAGTACACCGTAGAAAGAGTAGTACTGGTACTTCAGGTACACCATAGAAAGTGTGGTACTGGTACTTCAGGTACACCGTAGAAAGTGTGCTAGTGGTACTTCAGGTACACAGTAGAAAGAGTAGTACTGGTACTTCAGGTACACACTAGAAAGAGTAGTATTGGTACTTCAGGTACACAGTAGAAAAAGTGCTACTGGTACTTCAGGTACACCGTAGAAAGAGTGCTACTGGTACTTCAGGTACACCGTAGAAAGAGTGCTAATGGTACTTCAGGTACACAGTAGAAAGAGTAGTACTGGTACTTCAGGTACACGGTAGAAAAAGTGCTACTGGTACTTCAGGTACACCGTAGAAAGAGTGCTACTGGTACTTCAGATACACCGTAGAGAGATAAAGTATTACTAGACGTTCTATAGGATTATGCCAACAGTTACACAGAATCGTCTTCGAGAGCCCTTCCTGTTTATAAGTACCACCTTTCCCATTGATGCTGTTATCCGTAAGTACACTCTCTCCAGTAGTAAGGTGTTTTCTATAGGTACCCTCTCTCTCCAGTTGTGTATATTATCAGAAGGTACCTTCTCTCCAGTTCTGTGCTATTGTCTGTAGGTACCATCGTCTCTCCAGCTGTAAGGTGTTTTCTGTAGGCACCCCGTCTCTCCAGTTTTATGCTATTGCCTGTGGATACCTCCCCTCTCTCTCCAGTTATGTGATATTGTCTGTAGATAACACCCCTCTCTCTTCAGTTCTGTGCTATTGTCTTTATATACCACCCCTTCTCGTCAGTTCTCCACACTCCTCATCTGAAGGTAACCTTCTTTCTGCTGTACACTGTCTAAAGGATTACCCACTTTGTCTGCTGAATGGAAACATATGTCCACTGCTGTATGTAAATCCTACAAACACTACACGACAATCCACAGTTTTCTCCCTTTTCAACACAGCTCCATCTATGTTCCTTCTAATATGGTAAACACCTGTCTCTACACAGCTATTTACAGAAGCTCGATTATAAAAGTTCCAATAAATGGATACACAGCTGTTTATCGAACCATTTCTCTCAGTTGTGCGTAACTGGTATCCTAATACAGGCTCTTCAAAATCGTATAACTGTATATTGGTATCCTAATACAGGCTCTTCAAACTTGTATAACTGTATATTGGTATCCTAATACAGGCTCTTCAAACTTGTATAACTGTATATTGGTATCCTAATACAGGCTCTTCAAACTTGTATAACTGTATATTGGTATCCTAATACAGGCTCTTCACATTTGTATAACTGTATATTGGTATCCTAATACAGGCTCTTCAAACTTGTATAACTGTATATTGGTATCCCAGTACAGGCTGTTAACACTTGTATAACTGTATATTGGTATCCTAATACAGTCTCTTCATTCACACTTGTATAACTGTATATTGGTATCCTAATACAGGCTCTTCAAACTTGTATAACTGTATATTGGTATCCTAGTACAAGCTCTTCACATTTGTATAACTGTATATTGGTATCCCAGTACAGGCTCTTCACGCTATCTCAAATTGTGTTGACAACAGAAATCGTATTATTTGTTATTGTTTGTATAGCCATCTACCATTTGGTTAGCTAAAAACGTTCATGAATTGTAGTCACTTTAATTAGTATAACATAAACCCTTACTGAGATATAATAAAGGAATAATTAAACTCAATCAAGGCCAAGAAGTTTCAATTTGAACTAAGAAAATTAATAGTTCGAAGTCGAGTGTGTGAAGATTATGCTGGAACGTCATATATTAATACCAACTGATAAACATTTGTGTGAACGTGAAATTGTGAGAGTTTCCAATACAAGACTGGGAAAATGGGATTATGACACAGTTTTACTCACCGATGTTTATACAGAATATGTCTGTACTGACACAGTTTTACTCACCGATGTTTATACAGAATATGTCTGTACTGACACAGTTTTACTCACCGATGTTTATACAGAATATTCCTGTACTGACACAGTTTTACTCACCGATGTTTATACAGAATATTCCTGTACTGACACAGTTTTACTCACCGATGTTTAT